TCAGGAAAAAAAAGAAAAAGTGAATTGTTTCACTTATATAAAGTGAATCTTATTAAGGGGGTTTTGAGGGAAAAGCTTTCTAGGATCCAAACTTTTATCCTAAAATTATTGAATTTTCTTAATTTTAAGCAATTAAGAAAATTCACATTAGGCAGTTTCCATTTACCTTTTATTTTACAATCTCGCATCAGAAAAAAAAAAGTAAATTGTTTCACTTACATAACGTGAATCTTATGCTCCTATTTATATAAATTATTGAATTTTCTTAATTTTGAACAATTAAGAAAATTTTCATTGGCTAACTTCTATTTAACTTTTATTTTACAATCCCATATCGGGAAAAGAAGAAAAAAGTGAATTATTTCACTTACATAAAATGAATTTTATGCTCCAATTTATATAAGTAAAAGTAGATTTTTAGTGAAAAGCCATATGATCAATATTTCATACCAATTTTTTTTTTTTGATTTTCTTAATTTTAAACAATTAAGAAAATTCCCATTGGTTAATTTTTATTTAACTTTTATTTTACAATCTCACATTGAGAAGAAAAAAAAAAAGAAGAAGAGGAAAATTGAATTATTTCACTTACATAAAATGAATCTTATGCTCTTATTTATATAAGCAAAAAGAGATTTTTCGTGAGAAGCTCTATGATCAATATCTCATGCCATTTTTTTTCCCATAATTTTAAACAATTAAAAAAATTCTTATTGGCTAACTTCCATTTAACTTTTATTTTAATCTCATATAGAGCTTTTGATTTTAAAAATAATTTTGTATGAGATTTTGAAACTCTCATAATATTTAACTTTAAAATAATTATAATCCCACATCGAGAAATGAAAAAAAAGTGAGTTGTTTTATTTACATAAAGTGAATTTTATACGCTCATTTAATATTGTAGTATTGTGCATGTTTTAGTTCAAGATGGAATAAATTTTAAATTAAATTTAAACATTTTAAATAATTAATTTTGTTATAAAGTGGTTGGTCTTTTAATTTTGTTGATTAGGATGAATCATTTTTGATTTGACCGATTCAATGATTTAACTGCGGTTTTAGCTTGTTTATCAAAATATATTGCTTAGATTTATTTGATTTGAAATAAACTAAGATTGACCTTGTTAAAAATTAAACGATTGAGATTGTTTGATTAGAAATGAACTTCCTATCCAAACAATTGTTAACTTTTATTTTACAATCTCACATTAGGAAAATGAGAAAAAAAATGAGTTGTTTCACTATATAAACTTTATGTTCTCATTTAATATTGTAGTGTTGTGTATGTTTCAGTTCAAGACAATTTAAATTTTAAAATTAAAATAAAATTTAAAAGTTTTAATTAATTAATTTTTGTATAAGTTGGTTGGTCGTTTAACGTAGCCGATTTTCGGTTTAATTGATTCGCTGGTTTAACCGCGATTTTAACAAAATATATTGGTTAGATTTGTTTGATTTGAAATAAATTAAAGATTAAACGCCTGAGATTGCTTGATTCAAAATAAACTTTTCATCCAAACAATTGTTAACTTTTATTTTACTCAAAAGTTTATTTTGTCTTTTTGTAAATATGGTATCCCAAACGAGGGCTAAATTTTCTTAATTTTAAATAATTAAGAAAATTCTCAGTAGCTAACTTCTATTTAACTTTTATTTTACAATCTCACATCGGAAAAAGAAAGAAAAATTGAATTGCTTCACTTACATAAAGTGAATCTTATGCTTCTATTTATATAAATTATTGAATTTTCTTAATTTTAAATAATTAAGAAAATTGCCAATGGTTAACTTCCATTTAACTTTTATTTTACAATCCTACATCGAAAAAAGAAAGAAAAAGTGAATCATTTCACTCACATAAAGTGAATCTTATGTTTCTATTTATATAAGTAACATGAGATTTTTAATTAGAAGTTTTATGATCATTATCTCAGACAAATATTTTTTTTTATTTTTTTTATTTTAAACAATTAAGAAAATTTTGATTAACTATCTTCTATTTAACTTTTATTTTACAATTTCACATAGAGGTTTTGATTTTAAAAATAATTTTGTATGAGATTTTGAAACTCTCATAATATCTCTTTTTGAAAGTATTTTTTTTTTGTAAAATATATAGATATATTGATAATCTCAATGTCACTCTTATTGCTCTTTAATACAAAAATTATGAAATAATTATGATAATTTTAAATTTGTATTTAAAACTTATAATCATGGGATAGATTATTAGAATTTTAAATTTATATTGTGTCAATTTTAAATTTAAATTAATATATTATTTTTCATATTTAGTGACAGTTTAAATTTTAATAAAATAAAACTTTAAAGTTTTAATTAATTAATTTTTGTGTAAGTTGGTTGGTCTTTTAACCTAACTGATTAAGCCAAACTGTTTTTAGTCTGAATGATTTGCCGGTTTAACTGTGATTTTGAAGGTTTTACATGTTACAATGATTCTTTCTTACTTATTAAGTTTTTATAATTTCTTTAATTATTTCCCTTTCAAAAACTAATATGAATTTTTAAAAAAAATTATATATTTTTATTCTAAAATAGTGAAGTATTAGAACTATGTCATTTTTTTATAACAAAGCATAATTTTAATTATTTGGCCTGTTTGGTAGGGCTTATTTCCAGCTTAAGCTATTTTGATGTGTTTAGTTCAGCTTAACAATACAGTTTATAGCTTTTTGTAAGTCAAAAATCAACTTATTCTTTGAGTGGGGGAGGAGAAGCTTAATTTATAAGTAAAAAATCAGCTTATGTTCACAGCTATAAGGTATAAGCTGTTAGAATATAAGTTATAATCACTTTCTCACAGCTCTACCAAACGGGGCCAATAATTGTCAATACAATAATTTCAATCTATCTATACTATATATTAAAGTAAAGGAATATTTAAAATAAAACATTTAAACTTATATATAAAATTTTATTTACGAGAGATAAAATATAAAAAAAATTACATATAATTATCATGTTTTTAATAAATAATATATTATTTTATCCGTGCATAACACGGGTGATATAATAGTTAATGTTTATGTTAAAAAAAAAAACGAAAAGAATAAGACTTCAAACCAAGATTATGGATTTGGCAAATCAAACCTTGGCTACTTGAGCAACACATTTTATATATACATTTTTCTTTATCATTATTTTAAATTATTATTATTTTTTTAAATTACAAACACATTTTGTGTGTGCAATCCACTAATATATATAAACAATTTTTCGCGAAAACAATGACAATTAAAAAAAATGATATGATTTTTTTTATATTAATTCTATACAATACTCTGACATGATTAATTAATAAAAATAAATAAAATGATATACAAGTCTATTTTTTAGACCTACTAATGTGTAAGTAAATTGATTAGTTAATGATTAGTAAAAATATGAAAGAGAGTTGCCTAAATATTTTAATTAATTATCACATCATTGAATTTGAAAAATAAATCTAATTTTTTGATTAGAATATCAATATCCAAAAAAGAAAAAAGAAGTTACATTCCTATTTTTGAAAAGAAAATGATATATAAATTTACTTTCTAAATCTATTTTCTAGACCTAGTAATGTGTAAGTAATATGATTAATCTATAATTAGAGAAAATATGAAAAATAATATTACCTTAAATATCATAATTAATGATCATATAATTAGGTTTGAAAATTCGATGAAATTTTTGTACTTCCTTTTTGAAAAGTTGGTATCCTGTGGGCTACATTATTCTGTGGGCTCACTCTAGATTCACTTTAGTGGTCTTTGATATCTTTCATATTCATATATTTTCTGAATATATTACTTTTACAAAAAAAAATTAAAGTTAATTAAATCAACTAAATTTTTTACACAAAAAAATCTAATTAATGAACACTAAAAATAATCTTATAAAAAAAAAAGAAGAAGAAAAAACACTAAAAATAAACCATTCAAATTATTAAAATCACCTTGAAATGAACTCACAACTTATGAACTAAACAGTTCAGTCCAATTAGTAGACAGAAAAAAAAAAAAAAACTTATTTCTTATATTACTCAAAATCATTATATTTTATGTTATTCTAATTATTCGTCTCTGTTTCATACTTTTGGAAAGTGATTGATAGGCTTTACTGTTCCAACTGTATTTGTCTGAATGTGAAGATTACAATTAGACTCCCTCGTGCTCTTGAACCCACCAGTCAACGGTGATTACTTAGGACTTCCGAAATATGGACACGTAGGTAGCGTTTGGTAACGTTTACGTTTTTGATTTATATTTACAAAAATTTTATAAATTGGTTTTTATTTATTTTTAGAAAAAAATAAATTACAAACGCGTTTGATTTGAACAAAATGTTTAAAAAATTTTAAAAACATAAATTAAAAAATATGTTTGTTCAGGCTTAAAATATTTATATTTATTTTTATTATTTAAGACAATAGGATCACACACATTATAATTGAAAAAAAATTAATTATAAAAATAATTGAAAAAAAAATTAATTGAAAAAAAATTTAATTGGGAAAAATTAATTGAAAAAAAAATAGAAAATAAATTATTTGAAGAAAAAATTAATTGAAAAAAAATTTGAAAACTTACGTTTTTTCCTCAAATTTATAAACTGAGACAATCATTTATAAATCAAAAAAATTATCAAACAAGTTTTTATGACAGTTTTTTAAATTTTTGTAAATATAAACTGAAAACGGAATGGTTACCAAACAGACCTGTAGTGTTCCATGAGGTTTTGATTAGTGGAGTGACACAAAGGTCCACGATTTATGTTGAATATGAAAGACAACATGAGACTAACTAATTAGTAATTAATTTAGAATGGTGCCCTGAGAGTATTGAATAATTTTCCCCAATCAACCCACCTTTCTCTCAGCCATCTATGGATTCTAGAAGCACAATAACTAATCACCTGAGTAACATACACAACAAAGCATTTTCTCACTACTTTCCAGAGAAAACATTCATTACCTTACCAAAGACCCACTTAAAGCAAATTTCCCCTATAAATACCCTTATAGTAATTACTTCACTCTGCAACATACACAAACACAATAATTAAAATTTGGTGTACTAACAATGATGACTACAGTGGCTGCCCCGAGAGTCCAAAGCTTGGCGACGAGTGGGATTGAATCGATCCCAAAAGAGTACGTGAGGCCAAAAGAAGAGCTGACGGGCATCGGCAACATATTTGAAGAAGAGAAGAATGAAGAAGGGCCACAAGTGCCTACAATTGACTTGAAAGACATAGACTCGGAGGTCGAGGAGGTGAGAGAGAGGTGTCGGGAGGCGTTGAAGAAGGCGGCGGTGGATTGGGGTGTGATGCATTTGGTGAATCATGGGATAGCGGAGGACGTGAGGGAGCGGGTGAAGGTGGCCGGAGAAGGGTTTTTTGAGCAGCCGGTGGAGGAGAAGGAGAAGTATGCAAACGACCCTGATGATGGGAATCTTCAAGGGTATGGGAGCAAATTGGCTAACAATGCTTGTGGTCAACTTGAATGGGAAGACTATTTTTTCCACCTTGCTTACCCTGAGGACAAGTGTGACATGTCCATTTGGCCCAAGACACCAACCGACTACATGTAAGTTCAATAACATTTATTAATGAATGAGCGAGTGAGTTTGCTTCTTTTACCTGGAAAAAAATTTAAAAAAAAATTGGTAAAAAATGTTTTATATGATTAGTTATGATATTGAAATTAGTGTAATAGTGCTACTTATAGTGGTGATGAACATGATGGTAGTGGAATTGGAAAAAAGATATTGGTCTTTGGTAGGAGTGGCGGGGTTCCGATTTAGAGCACTAAATCAGCAGTTTTAAAAGCATCATTAATGAATTAGCAAGTGTAAAAAAACGTAAAAAATAAATAAAGGCCAAATTATCACATCAATAATGGAGTCCACATGATGATATGTTATTAGTGGTGTTAAATTAGTGGTATGAAGCATTTTTCAGGAGTGGCGATGGTAATATGATGACATTAGAAAAATTTTAATTTAAAAAATATTTTCTACATTTTTCAAAAGTTAAAGAATGTGAGATTTTAAAAATATTTTTTTGCTGACAAATAGTGGGTTAATTAACTTCAAAATAATTTCTTAATTTTTTTTATTTAAAAAGATATGAACCCTATCATACAAGAGTAAGAATTTAAATTACAAACTATTTTTCTTAATAAAATTATGAATATTTTTTCTGGAGTACTTGGATATATGGTTCATTAATATATATATATATTTTTTTTGGACGGATGGTTCATTAATATTTCACACTCGAATATGTTTAGTGAACTTGTCTTTTCATTTGTTTGTCCCATTTGACTTCTCTATATCATGATTTTTTTTGGGAAATTAACTTGACAATGATATCAAGAAAAAGTAATTACCAACAGATGGAAAATATTATAAATATATAATTTTTTTTATTAATTTGCAATTAAATATCCAAGCCAGATCCTTTAGAGAGTAAAGGAGAAACAAGCAATTTTATATATATATATATATATATATATATTATCTTGAATTTATGGAGAGGGGTCTTGAAATAAGGATATACAAAAGATTGAAACACAGAGTCTCCTGGTTTATGTACTTAACTAATAATGTTAAGAGGATGGGCATTTCTAAAATTTTACAAAAAGTACAACAAAATTAAAAGATGTGGAATAAAAATGTTTTTTTTTTTTTTAAAAAGAGAGTATATTTTGCAAACTAAAATGAATATATATATATATATATATATATATCAAAACCAAAATGCTAACAAATGTACTTTTTAAAACCACATGTATTTGGTCATTTTGATTTTCTTGAGATTTTATGTAAAATTTTAAAAATACTTATCTTTTTGTGTTGAGAGTTTTTTAGTCTTACTTTTTTGGGCAAATTACAAATACCGCCTCGAGGTTTGGTAAAAATATAGATTCTTCTCTGAGGTTTGAGAAATTACAAATTATTTCATGAGGGTCAAATTTTCATAACAAATTAGAGGAAATTAGGGGGAAATCTGTATGAAAAGAAAAACCTCAGGGGGCAATTTGTTATGGAAATATAAACTTCAGGGGTGAGATGCAATTTCTCAAACCTCAGGGGGGAATCTGTATTTTCACCAAACCTCGAGGAGGTGTTTGTAATTTGCCCTACTTTTTTTTAGTCTCATTTGATTTTGTGTTGAATTTTTTTTTTTTGTGAGAGTAAAAATATAATGATTATGGATAAAAATTAATATTTTGTCTTATTAGCTTTTGTAATCAATTTTGTCTTTTTGTGACTAAAATAGCCAAAAAAGATTATCCCAAACATAGCCTAAGGAATTTTTGTACTCCAAAATGCAACAATTAAAAACTTAAGATTAAAAGTACAATAGAATGTATAATTTGAAATACAATTTAGTTTTGATCTAACTTAAATCTAACCATTCCTACACTTCTTTCAAAATTGTGTCAATCTAGTCCTGCAACAGTTGAGTACGCAAAGCAACTTCGAGCCCTAACTACCAAGACGCTCTCAATCCTATCCCTTGGCTTAGGACTAGAAGAAAACAGACTAGAGAAAGAAGTTGGAGGCAAAGAAGAGCTCCTCCTCCAAATGAAAATCAACTATTACCCAAAATGCCCTCAACCCGAGCTCGCTCTTGGGGTTGAAGCCCACACTGACTTGAGTGCAGTCTCCTTCATCCTCCCCAGCATGGTCCCAGGGCTGCAACTCTTCTACGAGGGTAAGTGGATCACTGCAAAATGTGTACCAAACTCTATCATCATGCTAATTGGGGACACTGTTGAAATTCTTAGTAATGGCAAGTACAAGAGCATTCTTCACAGAGGACTTGTTAACAAGGAAAAGGTGAGAATTTCGTGGGCGGTTTTTTGTGAGCCGCCAAAGGAGAAGATTATCTTGAAGCCATTGCCGGAGACGGTGTCAGAGGCGGAGCCACCGTTGTTCCCGCCGAGGACTTTTGCTCAGCATATTCAACATAAATTGTTCCGGAAATCCCAAGAACTTGGCTCTAAATAATTCTGGAAAATGCTATGCTATCGAAATTTTTATACAAAATTTGATTTCAGAATGACATGGCGGTGAGGTGAAATTTCATAAATTAAAATAAATTAATGATGGGTCTTTATGTTTTTTTAATGAAAAGCCATGTTATTTTGTATGATAATTTTGTATAATTTGTCAATTTGTGTAGCATTAAGTCTAAAATTAATTGTTTGGTGGTTGGTTTGTAATGTTATGGTTTGGTTTGATGTTTTAGAGTTTAATCATTGGCAGGTCTTATAGACCTTAGCCTGTATTTGTCTCAGTGCTTGTCCTTTGCCTGTCTTTTAACTACAATTTATCAATAAGATCATTTTCTTGTTATAATCTCTGGTTAATTAATGGTTCTTGATTATTGAAATCTAATTTAGATACTTCTATTTATATTATATTAGTGAAACCCGTGTTATGTATGGGATGTAAAAAAATTAATAAAATATATTTATATGAAATAATATAAATAGTAGATTTTTGTATGTAAATTATGGAAATAAAAAAATATTGAAATTTACAATTTAAGTTTTACAATTTTATCACAATTTATGTATCAATTTTTAATTTGTCACAACTTCAATAATGCAACCTTCAACACCCCTTGCTACAGTTGTAAACTTGGGCGAGTTGAATCCAAGCAACTCGAGTCAAGCCTGTAAATTTTTAAAGATTGTGCAACATAATTTTTAATTTGGTGAGAATCTATGTAAAATTTAAAAATTCGAATGAATTTGAATGGATTTGGATAGATATATCAAATAACCTGAGCAATCGAAACAAAATTATATCTATAAATATATAAAATTATTGGGTAATTTATTTTTTTAATAATAAATAAGATTAATTAAAAATTTAATATTAATGAATAAAAGCAAATACACATTTTAGAAATGGATTATCGAATAAGTTGATATTAAAAAGATTATGTTTTATAATGGCATAAAATAATTTAAATATGACTTTTCAAAAATTATTTTTAATTTAAAAATTACAATAAAATAGTTAAATATAATAAAATTAAATTTCTACAAAATAAAAGTATCTGCATAAAAAAATAAGGTAAGAAGAAAATTTAGAATGGTATTCTTATGGGAAAATCGGTCTAAGGTCCCTATCCAACTTTTAGTAATAGATTAGGTCCACAATCTGTTCTTTTGTAGTCTAAGGTCCCTCACCCCATTCCCTCTCCATCCACGTTGTCCTGAGCTTGATCACCGTTGGCTCCAAATCCCCAACCCTTGACCAGTTGGCGAGAATTTCTCTGGACAGTGGGAAGTCCAGAGAAATTTGGAGAGAAGTCAGAGAAATTTGGCGAGAATTTCTCTGGACAGTGGGAAGTCCAGAGAAATTTGGAGAGAAGTCAGAGAAATTTGGCGAGAATTTCTCTGGACAGTGGGAAGTCCAGAGAAATTTGGAGAGAAGTCAGAGAAATTTGGCGAGAATTTCTCTGGACAGTGGGAAGTCCAGAGAAATTTGGAGAGAAGTCAGAGAAATTTGGCGAGAATTTCTCTGGACAGTGGGAAGTCCAGAGAAATTTGGAGAGAAGTCAGAGAAATTTGGCGAGAATTTCTCTGGACAGTGGGAAGTCCAGAGAAATTTGGAGAGAAGTCAGAGAAATTTGGCGAGAATTTCTCTGGACAGTGGGAAGTCCAGAGAAATTTGGAGAGAAGTCAGAGAAATTTGGCGAGAATTTCTCTGGACAGTGGGAAGTCCAGAGAAATTTGGAGAGAAGTCAGAGAAATTTGGCGAGAATTTCTCTGGACAGTGGGAAGTCCAGAGAAATTTGGAGAGAAGTCAGAGAAATTTGGCGAGAATTTCTCTGGACAGTGGGAAGTCCAGAGAAATTTGGAGAGAAGTCAGAGAAATTTGGCGAGAATTTCTCTGGACAGTGGGAAGTCCAGATAAATTTGAAAAGAAGTCCAGAGAAATTTGGAATTAGGTAAGGATAGATATACCCTGGAAAATATGTAGATAAGTACAACAAAAATTTATTGAATTCATTCAAAGAAAATGATAGGAATTTCCCAAACAATTGTAGAAATTCTGAATCAATATCAACAATATAGCATATTCAAACAAGATGAAGCACAATACAATTTCTCTGGAGAGAAGAGAAATTTCTCTGGAGAGAATGGAAGGCCAGAGAAATTTACAGTGGGAATTCTAGGGAATGTTAGAGAAATTAGAAAGTCTAGAGAAATTCTTCCCAGAATTTCTTTGGACTAATTTTATCTTTGAAGTTGAATTTTCTCTGGAAGTCTAGGGAATGACTTCTTCTCTTTCTTGTCTATGCTAAGGTATGGCAAGATCTTACTAACAACCACATCATCTTGTTGGACTTGATATACAAAGAGCACTAGGATTAGCAAACAGAATTTTGATCGCAACCCTTCAAAATTCTAATGTTGCTTACATATTCCATAATGTCTAGGGTAGAGAAATGGACAATGGAATATGGGATTCAAAATTCTAATGTTGCTTACATATTACAATGTGGAATTTTTCCAGTTGAATTCAGTTGAACAATGTTGCTTACCCAATGAATCGCAATGATTTGGATGTGAATGAGAAGAAAAGTAGAGAAACTCATCCAGAGAAATTTGGTCCAGAGAAATTTCTCTGGGCCAGAATTTCTCTGACCAATTTTCTCTGCACTGAAATTTCTCTGGACCAAATTTCTCTGGACTGAAATTTCTCTGGACTGAAATTTCTTTGGATCAAGGTTGAGGGACCTTAGACATTATGAAAATATTGTTGAGGGACCTTAGACATTATAAAAATATTTGATGTCCTTTATGCTATAAAATCATAATACCAGGGACCTTAAAAAAAAAAACCCCTATTCTTATTTGATCTGAAAATAATTATAGATGACTAGTAAATCATCACCTATAATTCTCATTTAAAAAAAAAAGAAGAAGATATTTCACAAACCATCACTTTTATTAGAAAAATAACATTTATTTCTATTTATTTTAGCAAAACTCACTTTTTAACAATTTGAGCCAAAAGTTTTTCATTTTTTTATTTTAGTTTGTTTACTTGACAACTGAGATTAAAGAGAAAAAAAAATAAATGATCCACCATGTTTCTTAAATGCTAAAAAAATCTAGATGAATGAAAAAAAAATGTTTGAGACCCAGAAAAAAACAACCACAGTGATGTGGTGTTATATGTGTCAACTTTTGATTTGCTATACACTCAATGACATGGGGTCCAACTCCCTTGTCACATCATTATGGGTGAAAGTTGTTATACACTTAATGACATGGGATCCAACTCCATTGTCACATCATTATGGATGAAAATTATTATACACTTAATGACATGGGGTTCAACTCATTTTTCACATTATTGTGAGTGAAAGTGTGGGTTTATAACATTGCTGAAACAATAAATTATCATATGTAACTCTTATTTTCTTTTTTTATTATATAAAAGAATAAGTTTCACCAACTATCACTTTTAATAGAAAAAATATTTATTTCTATTTGATTTTAGGAAAAGTTACTTCTTAACTATTGAAATAATTTAAATGATTTTTAAAATATTGATTATTTAAAAATTTGAAAAGAAATGCTTTTAATTTTTATTTTCTAATGATCAACTTTTAAATTGAAAAAACTACACCAAACTAGCCCTTAACACAACTCTTACTGAATCCATCCACATATATTTAGAGGTTAATTAATGTCTCAAATTAACTAAATAAAAAAATAAAAAAGATTGCTACACCATTGTCTCTAGAATATTAGTGAAAGAATAAAAAATAATGTAGAATTGTGGTCATTAATTCCAACTAGGACGAACATTTTCAAGTGCACAATGATATAGAATAAAGCTTTGGACCCCAGTGGGGGTACTGGGGTCCCTTCCCATTGGTCTAAAAAAACAATTTTTTTTTTTTTGTTTTTGTTTTGAGTTTTCAGCTAATCCAAAGTCGACACGTGGTACTGAGAGGTTGCTGGGGTCTTGAATTTTCAGCTAACCCCAAGCCGACACGTGGTACGGAGAGGTCGCTGGGAGTATGTAGCATTACTGAGATTTTCAGACTTGTTCCATTATAGTATTACGAAAATGATATCCAAAGATGGCCCATATGCTGCCTCACCATCACATCACATATTAAATAATTTGAGAGAGAATGTAAAGAAAGAAACCTTTCCTATCAATTTTATCATATTTTTTAATTTTTACATAAATTCACATAATATGTAAACGTGTACTAAAAATAGTGGGATTCTTTGTTATTTCTTAAATACGATTCATCATGTTTGATTTTACTTTTTTGAATTTAATTTTTTAATTATTATTATTTTTTATTTTTAGTGAATTTTTTTTTATTATTTTAAGTAAATTTTTTACTTTTTATATACATTTAAATATAAATACAATTAAAAAGTATAGGTAGCGTTCGGTAACGTTTACGCTTTTGGTTTATGTTTACAAAATTTTATAAATTAGTTTTTGTTTATTTTTAGAAAAACATAAATTATAAATACGTTTGGTTTGAACAAAATGTTTAAAAAAATTTAAAAGCATAAACTAAAAAATTTGTTTGTTTAGGCCTAAAATATTTATATTTATTTTTATTATTTATGACAATGGGATCACACATTATAATTGAAAAAAAATTAATTGAAAAAAATTTTAATTGGGAAAAAAAATTAATTGAAAAAAAATTAATTAAAAAAAATAATTGAAAAAAAAATAATTGAAAAAAAATTAATTGAAAAAAAAATTAATTGAAAAAAAAAATTATTTGAAAAAAAATTTAATTGGAAAAAAAAATTATTTGAAAAAAAAAATTGAAAACTGAAAACGTAAACTCATTTTTTGAGTTTACGTTTTTTCCTCAAATTTATAAACTGAGACAACCATTTATAAACCAAAAAAATTATCAAACAAGTTTTTATGACAGTTTTTTTAAATTTTTGTAAACATAAACTGAAAACTGAAAACGGAATGGTTACCCAATAGACCCATAGTATTTGTAATTTTTTTTTAAAAAATTCACTAAATATCAAAAATACAAAAAAAATATAAAAATTCAATATATTTTCATATTCTTGTGTATTTATTAATTTTTTTAAATATTTTTTTTTATGAATATTTCACTTTTTAGGTACATCTGAGTTAAGTGTATCTGAAAATTAAAAAAATTTAATTAAAATATTAAAAAATTTACTAAAAACGAAAAAATACAAAAAATAAAAATTTAATTTTTATAAAATTAAATTCTAAAAATTGAAAACAAATAAAGTAATTTACGCTCAGGTGAGTTGGGTCAAGCTGATG